TATAAAATGGTTAATTACCAATTCAGCCTTTTGCATAGTTCCCGGTCTGTCCAGTGTTTCTGTAAGAGGCCCAGGCCTCCTTGGAAAGTGGGTCTATGTGAGGAGGGTCTTATCCATGACTTGTGAATTGGACCCCAGTGAGCCTGAGATGTCTTGAAAGACTTGAACCTCTAGCCGGCTTATCAACAGGGACTCTGTAATGTTGAGCTGGATTCGATTTCACGTCGACTCTGGTCTTTCAGATTCACAATTCGCTCACACAAATCTGACGCAGTGTGTACGCAACCTGGCACGGTGCTGGGTGATGCGTTCATGGCTGTACATGCACAGGTTTGCCTCGTGGCAGCACTTTTACTGTAAACGTCCTTGGATGGGAGAAATTTGATGAGACCCCATTTCATGCTGAACCACTTGATAATTTGCACTAGCAATCAACATTCCATGCTTCGCGAAGACTCAATTGCTACCTGTCGGGTTGCGAACGCGCCACTTAAGCGAAGCTGCCTAATGATGGGCGAGGTGGAGGCAAGAACGGGCCTTTTATGCATCCTGACAACCCCCGTGCCCTCCCCATTGGACGTATTGGCCACATAGAAGCTCCGGAGAAATGAAATTCCTTGCAGGGTAGCTTCATTGTACAAGACTTGGCTAAAGAAGTGGCCGCCGTTGGCAATAATCCTTGACGCTACACTGAAGCTCACCGTATCGTGCATCTTCACTCCCTACGGGACTCGGACCCTAGGCGAGCTAGGTCCGATATACCATTTAGGCTGTTGCCCCAAGGAAGTCGTGAAAACGGCAACTAAATTAAAATTAGCCGAGAAATGGAGTGGCTTTAATCAACTTTTCATTGCGGAAACACATTTGGTCTGAAGGTATCCGTGAATTTGCAGCACCAGAGGGCAAGTCTGTTGAAATATGCTAAATATTCATAGGTCCTCGCGTGACGGACGAGGACATCGCCTTCTGGCTTGGCCAATTCACGAATCCCTTCCAAACAACTTTTCCTTCATAATGACAATTTGAGTTACATCAGATCATTGAGTGATTCGTCGAAGCCCAGCTCTTCTTCCCATTCAAGAAAGGGCTGAATGTGTTGTTGAGTATTCCCCAAATGTTGGAGCAGTTTTGTAGGGTTTCGTTTACGACTTAATCTAATTCCAGAAAGTTTGCTGCCTCAAGTAAAAGGTGATTTCAGATTTCAGTCATCTAACAGACAGGCTCAACGCCAACGGAGCGTTGGAATGGTGTCCAAACAACTTCTGTAGGGACTAAAATAAATCAATTATTCAATAGCCGTGTACCCTTAGAACCAACGATTTTGATGCTGGTACCAAGAGCCTGAATCGTATGTTCACAGACAGATTTTCTAGGGGGAGGAGAGATTCGACCTCGGTGGGAAATACTCCATCAGATGGGAATGTGCTAATGCTATAGCCTCTACCTGACAAGTGAGGCTACCTGATGGCATGATACGGTCAATTAGAAGATGCAGCGGATTGCGGAGACTAAAAGTGGGGATACATATAATTCTGATAGAAAGACTTAATTGGATGGCTGCAGCTTACAGTCTTGATGAATGGAAGGCATCACAGGTTCTTCCGGATGGCCCTTATTCTCGACGCAATCTGGGCTTGACTACTACTTCAAGGGAGACTCGGACCCAGGATCCCGGAGCTATGAGTTTGAATTTGGTCAGAGTAATGCTAAAAGCGAGGTGAGACTGAAGTACATTTAAATTCAGACAGCAGGTGGAACATAATTATCTGGAATGTGTTGTAATTCAACACATGGGAAATTTGATATTAGAGACAAAAGTATTTGGAAGTAGAGTCAGCCTAGGTCACTTTAGCGATGAAAGTCGGAATAATTGAGTGTTCCCAATCACGATGGCAATTCATTTTATTTAGCATTGCCATTAAAACTGTCTTATTCTCGTGAGGAAGTGGAGACTCGAAGATGAGCAGTGCGAATCCAGTTTCAACAAGATGCCAGGCATCCACATAGCCAGAGCATCAATAGGTCGCAAGGCATTGT